ACGATCAACATTGCGTGCAGCAGCAACCACAGCCTCCCAGACACTGTTCAGAGAGGTGTACTGTTTTCCCTCCTTGTAAATCTCACATTTGATGAGGGACCACAGGTTCTCTATGGGGTTCAGATCAGGTGAACAAGGAGGCCATGTCATTAGTTTTTCTTCTTTTAGGCCCTTTCTTGCCAGCCACGCTGTGGAGTACTTGGATGCGTGTGATGGAGCATTGTCCTGCATGAAAATCATGTTTTTCTTGAAGAATGCGGACTTCTTCCTGTACCACTGCTTGAAGAAGGTGTCTTCCAGAAACTGGCAGTAGGACTGGGAGTTGAGCTTGACTCCATCCTCAACCCTCCACCTTGTTGGCGTCTGAGTCTGAAAGACGCGTTCAAGTCCAACAGTCTCATTGACTTCTATGCCGCCCTCCCAAACGACACGTACCCTAACATCAGAAAACACGCAATGAAGATGTCCACACTTTTTGACAGCACGTATATCTGCGAGCAAACATTTTCAGGCATGAAACTGCTGAAAAATTCAATGAGATCAAGATTGACAGATGAACATCTGCATCAGTGTTTGAGACTGGCAGTGACTAGAATGGAACCTGACATTCAACTTCTCATCAGCCAGATGCAGGCCCACAGTTCACACTGATGAACATACAAAGGTAAGCTCACTTTTCTGACTTGAATGAGTCATTCTGAGTATAAACAAATATAATCATAATAAAATCTACTGGGATAAAATCCATCTCCACAACCATACTGGCAGTGGTACTGGTTGTGCTGTGCAGATGCTGTATCACTTAGTTCAGTTTCTCAGCCTGCTTGCTTTGTGGTTTTCACAGGGAAGTTGATGAGAGAGAGAGAGAGCTGCAAACAGCGACGTCTACAAGCCTGCTGGAACCTACAAAAGGATTATAAGGAAGGAACACAAGAACTTTGAGAGATTTATTTCATAAATATTATTATTTATTTCCTGGCTTTTTTCTGTGAAGAACCCAGAGAGGGTTATTTGATTATTATTTATTTCATTAATAGTGTTATTATTTATTTCCTGACTTTTGTTCTGTGAAGAATCCAGAAACGGTTATTTGATTGTGCTTTCTGGAAAACAATAAATGTTTACGTTTAGGCACTCCTGCAATCGTCACATTTTTTCTGTTACAAACTGACCCCGGCCCCCCATCAGAGAAGGGAAAAGTTATGTGGCCCTCACAGAAAAAAGTTTGGGGACCCCTGCTGTTGACTATTTTGAATGACATGCTTGATTGTTCGATGATAACGCTTCAGAAGCTTGGCAATTTTAAGAGTGCTGCATCCCTCTGCAAGATATCTCACTATTTTTGACTTTTCTGAGCCTGTCAAGTCCCTCTTCTGACCCATTTTGCCAAAGGAAAGGAAGTTGCCTAATAATTATGCACACCTGATATAGGGTGTTGATGTCATTAGACCACACCCCTTCTCATTACAGAGATGCACATCACCTGATATGCTTAATTGGTAGTGGGCTTTCGAGCCTATACAGCTTGGAGTAATACAATGTGCATAAAGAGGATGATGTGGTCAAAATACTCATTTGCCTAATAATTCTGCACTGTATTTGTGTGACCTCTAACCTTTTTAGGTGGAGTTTGAAGCCTTAAAAAAAGGTGGAGTAAGAAATGATATCGCATTAGATGACATCACAGTGTTGGATGGTCCTTGTGGGCCCGCGCCCCCTGAACCAACCACTGTACCCACTCCTACAACCCCCACCCCCATACCAGGTGAGACAACGCTCCCCTATTTAACAAGGACACGCCCACACAGACCAATATGACCCTGAAACTGCCCTCTATGATCTGATTGGTCTAGCTGACTGTGGAGGACCTTTTGACCTCTGGGAACCAAACTCCACCTTCACATCTCCAAACTACCCACAATCCTATGGAAACAAAGCCCAGTGTGAGTGCATGTGTCTGGTCCATGTGTCTGGTCCATGTGTCTGGTCCATGTGTCTGGTCCATGTGTTCTGGTCCATGTGTCTGGTCCATGTGTCTGGTCCATGTGTCTGGTCCATGTGTCTGGTCCATGTGTCTGGTCCATGTGTCTGGTCCATGTCTGACCTTTTATCTCCTACAGGCCTGTGGATTCTTCATGCGCCTCCAAATCACAACATCCAGCTTCACTTCATGGACTTTGATGTTGAATCCACCTATGATGTGGTTGAGGTGCGAGATGGGGCGGGGCCAAACTCCACCTTACTAGGTCAGTCTATTTTCTAACCACAACTCTTTTTTTGATCAGTTAATTGAAAAGCCACTTTTTTAGCTGTCCTGACTGGAATGGTAGGCCCCGCCCACGACCTCTTCTCAACTGCCAATCAGATGACAGTGTGGCTGTTCACGGACAGCTCGGGTTCTGGCAGAGGATTTAGGGCCAACTTCACCTCTGGACTGGACCTTGGATCCCCAGGTAGTCCAAGCACAGAGAGTGCTGCTGTTATTGGTGACTGATTAATAATGACTGTGTGTCAACAGTTCCATGTGCAGATGATCAGTTCCAGTGCCAAACAGGAAGTTGTATCCAGGGCAACAGTCAGTGTAACAGTGTTGTTGACTGTCCAGATGGTTCTGACGAAGCCAACTGTGGTGAGTCTGGACAGGAATGATCTGATCGACAACTACAACAACAACACCTTAACCACACACCACCTCTGTGACACATACTGACCACAGGAGGCAGCAGAGGACAAAGAGTTTCTGTGTCACCCTGAGTTTAAATTACTGACTTTCTCTGTGGGGGTGGGTGGGTGGGGGGCCTACAGCTCACTGCTATCACTAAGATAAATCAGTTAACAGATTCTTGTTAGCTGTACAGTTTGAACAGATCCTTGAACGTCTCAGTCTGTGTCAGTGCTGCTGCAGGACAACGGTTCACATCGTCTCCAGATTCAGCTCCTGCTCTCTTTCTACACCGTTTGTGGGGACACATGGACATCGGAGCTTTCAGTCTTCACCTGCCGCTACCTGGGACACAGGTCTGTCTGTCCTTCAGTCCGTCTGTCTGTCCTTCAGTCTGTCCCTGTTTAAACTGTCTGTCACTGCAGGTCTGGATATGCCTCACTGCTGCCCTCTATGCCAGAAGACTCACCATTCGTGATTGTCACACTTTCAGTAAATGGAACCCTGGAGACCAAAGTGAGGTACTGCAGAATGGAAAGACAAATTAGGAGAAAATTTCATTGAATCCAGGATTTAAAGTTAAATCAGAAAGTGACTTTCATTTTGGCTGAAGGTAACCATACCGCCACCTTGAGGATGCTCTACTGGGTTGACCCAATGTCCTGTGTAGCTTCTACCTTCAATAGTATAAACATAACTCTTAATTCTCACACATATCGTGAAACCTTTACACCAAGTCTGAACTGTGAGCTAATCCTAAGAACACTAAGTGTAGCTGAAAGTTATTCATATTATAAAGTAGAAAACCAAAAAAAACCAATTTTGTCTTCTTTAAAGTGACACCTGTTCCAGTGAGAACGTGATTTCACTGAGCTGCGACAACAAACGTGAGTAACAAGTCATGAGTGGAGTGATGTAGGCTTTACGCAAAGGTGACCTCTCTGACCCCTGACCTCTGTGATCTGTGCATTACAGCCTGCGGTGTTCAACAAATCATGAACCAGAAGTTAGAGAGTGACCAATCAGGTGAGAGTTAAGAAGTTAGTTATCCAATAATCCTTGGTTATTTTAACTCGGGTCAAACCCAAGATGTTAGGATAAGGTTCTTCAACGCCAAGGCTAAGCTAACAGTTAGGCTAACAGAGAAGCTAATGGTTGACTTGAAACATAGAAAATTCTGTTTTATATTGTTTGTCTTTGTTTTGTTTGTTTGTTGTCAACGATGAGGTGTGTCTCGTGTTGTGGGCGGGGTGAATGCAGTAAAGGGAGCGTGGCCGTGGATTACCTCTCTGCACTGGCGTGGGCGCCACGTTTGTGGAGCCTCACTGATAGATGGTGATTGGCTGCTCACGGCGGCTCACTGCGTCTATGGGTGAGTGGCATCGATGATGTCAAATGATGACTTGTTACAACAAAGGACAAAAAGTAATTAGTTTAGCATGAGCTGCATGGAAGTCAGTGATAACAGACTTTAGCATTAGATTATTTCATAACCTTGAACAGAAAGAACATTCATCTCCACCACTGGGTGGCGGTCCTGGGACTTCACACTCAGAGTGACATGATCCCTGAGGAGGTTCAAACCCGCAGAGTCGATCGTGTCATCATCCACCCACTTTACAACAGGCGCAGCAAACAGGCGGATGTTGCCATGATGCACATGGAGCGGCCTATCAACTTCACCAGTTAGTGACATCACAAAAACCACCGTAACGTCCACACACACACATTCAAGTCAGCCAAAAAGACAAGGGTTTTGTCTTTGTTGTTGCCAGATTGGGTGGAGCCTATTTGTTTACCTGTTGAAGGGCACAACATCTCTGCAGGAAAAACTTGTCGGATCGCAGGATGGGGACGAGACTCTGAGGGTGAGAAAGGATTATGGGTGAGAGGTTAAAAGGGAAACTGTCTCTATCTCACCCGGCTCTCCCTGTCCTCTCTGTCTTACCTCCGTGTTTCTCAGGCTCTCTGCCCGACATCCTTCAGGAGGCCCAGGTTCCTGTTGTGGGCCAGGACCAATGTGGTGCTCAGTTACCAGAGTACAACATCACATCCAGCATGGTGTGTGCCGGGAGGCCAGAGGGGGGAGTTGACTCCTGTCAGGTGAACGCCCACCTGAACCCACTGGACTTGGACTGGTCTGGTGCTGCTTAATGAGCTAAATGTGTCAATGTTTTCAGGGCGACTCTGGAGGTCCACTCATGTGCCAGGAAGGCCGACACTGGACTCTGATTGGTCAGTTACCCCTGTTCAGACAACAGTCAAAAATAATTTATAATACAGTTAGGATATGATCAGATTAATCATCTCAAGTTTCCATCTGATTTGATTTTCACAGGTGTGACATCATTTGGGATTGGCTGTGGACTTCCACAGAGACCCGGGGTCTATGCTCGAGTCTCTGCCTTCACTTCCTGGATCACCCAGATTAGACGTTCTCACTCCTTATCTTAATTCCTAAATGATGAAGTTTCAGTCTGTGTCTAACGCTGCTCTAACCATATGCTAATCCTAATTCTTTTTTTTAATTGTCTTTTTATTAAGTTTAAAGTCAACATTTACACAGAATTATATTCTGTGTATTTCTTTTTAACAAATGACACATTATGTTAAACATATATAATTGTAGGTCTTGAAAAATATCTCACCCTGTTTTTCCAATTAAAATCTCTCCATGACAAACAGTTGATTTCCATTGGAAATCCTTTAAATGTTCCCATTCCTCTAGTGACAGCACGAAGATTCCTTCTTTTCCCATGTTTCCTTTATGTAGGATATATTGGTGCATGGAGCAGTAAAGATTCTTGACAGCCCCGCCCCGCTGTAGATGTACCCACATCAAGTATTCTTTCTGTCTAATGTCTTAACTGCAAATATCTAAAGAGGTTCCATATTGATCCTTCAAGTTTTGAAAACTTTTAAAGGAAGTCTTTTCAAAGAGATCCAAATAAATATCCATCCATTCATCCATCCATTTTCATCCCCCTAACCCTTCCTGCAGGTGGTGAGTCCACTGGAATCCAAATATATAATATATAATATATAATATAAACCCCTGGCTGCTGCCACAACCCAGTGTGTTTGCCACACAGGCTCCTTCTGCCTGTATAACTTTGCCATTTTACCGTTACTGCATTACCTCAAGATGGGATTTGAGCTCACTCTTCCTCTGTGTCGCCTGCAATGGGGTCGTGTCCGAGCAATGGCATTAAATGGTTTTCCATATAGCGGAATAGCATGGGTCACAAATATGGATCAAGGGTTTCATCTGAGCAGCTTGATAATAACTTTTTAGGCAAAGGAGAGCCAGACCTCCTTTACACTTGGAATGTCTTGTATCTGACTCTAGAATTCACTAAATCCACTTATCCCATTCAGCAAACTTTTTTATCAGGGATCTCCACTGGAAGTGACGGAAACCAATAAAGCAGCCTCGGAAGTTGGTTCATTTGAATCTTTTCCACTGATGCTGAGTCAGCCCTAGGACAAGTAACAAATTCCACCTGTCCAAGTCCTTATTGTTAGAGCTGCTAAGACCCCAAAGGCCTTCCAAGCACACACATTTACATATCCCCCAACATTCAAAGATAAATTCTCCTAAATTCTCTTCACACCAACTCCCCAGACAACTCCTGTTGTTCCAAAACACCTCTATCCCCTAGGAACAATGGGAAGACTTCCGTCCACTCCTTTTGATCCACATAACCCGTGTTGGCTGGACCTCAAGGCTCCGCCCACTTCCTTTGTAACACCCAGACAGGTATAAAAATGCAAACCACTGATGATGCTTTGAAAGTTATTCTAGGAAGGTATTCTTGACCGTATTAACAACTGTTGTACAAGATTTTCTCGAATACTTCTCCAGTCGTTTTATTTTGCACTTGGACCTGTTTGTTTTGGTGTTTTGTTATTAAATTAAATCTTTCAACTGGTGCCCAAATCCTTCATTACTAATGTTGGAGAGCAGAGGGTGGTGGTTTTCACAGGATGGATTTGTAAGGTTCTTTGGTCCTTTCAACATATTCACTCCATTAATGGCATACTTGTCTCTGAACTGCTGGCTTGTCGTGAAATTGAATGTTAGCATCTGGGATTTATGTGAGTTGAATTTGTTTCCTGAGTTTTGTTAAGCGTGACAAGAACACCAGAATGTCATCTGCAAAAAGTCCTAAGTCCTAAATGTCCTAAGCAGCTGGGGTGCCAAGGATTCTCTTAGTGCCTTGTACAGGTCAGATGTGATCTGGACTTCTGTTAGGTTTTCGTCTTGAGCCTCGGACATTGTTGGGAGATTTAGCCCCTCCAGCGTGAAGTCTCTTAGCTTCTTGTTATCCAATCTAGGTTGAACAATTTTTTGTAGTAAATTTCCAAACTCTGACTGATATCATTTAGGTGATATTTCATGCTGCCATCACTTCAGTCTCTGTTTGTTGCTTCTTTACTTTAATAAATAATAACCAATTAACCAATAATAGTGATGGTTTGCCAACCACTTCATAATGATTTTGCTTGACTAACACTGAGTTTTTAAGTGTATCTCTTGATTGAATGTTATTTAATTTAGTTTTTATCAGATGCGTCTTCTTTTTTAGGTTTGCCTCTGTAATTCTTTTAGTTTAGCTTCCAAATCAATAAGTTCCTGTTGTTTTTTTTTTTTTAATGCAGTTGTCTTGGCAATTAGTTTACCCCGTAGCACGGCTTTGCAACCATCCCACAGGATGAAGAGGGAGACTGTACTCCTGTGTTAAAATGACAATAAAGGCTATTCTATTCTATATCGACTGTAGGAACTGAAATAGAAACTCTTGTCCTGGATTGGCCACTGCATGTGATTGGCAGCTGAATCGACTAATTGGAGCCCAAACAGCGGTTTCTTTTTATTTTGACTCGGCACCGTTGTTAGCTAGAAGTGGCTGCCATCTTAGAACAGCACATTTTAACACACAAATGTTTCCAGTTAAACAATTGAAATGCATTACCTTGTTCTGTTACATAAACAGATATTACTGAAGAAAACCCACCGACTTTAGGGGCGTGAATTACGTACATTGACCATAAACAATGCTCTTCCCAAAATGGCTCCACCTTCGTTGCTGTAGTAACAGCAGTTGTTCTGCTCTGACTCTGTCAACTGACACAGAAATCAGACAATGCACAATTTTTCATATGTGAGGCAGGTTAACACTGTTATTATGTTGTTGTCTTCGCAGGAACATATCGCCGACCAATCCTAGATCAGAAACAGATCCACAACACTTCATCAGAACCAGGGAAGGATGGCGACTCCTCCAAAGAAACACTACTGTTTTCAGACCATATTTTCAGCTGCAGGAAAGTGCATCTCCTTCAGAGGTGATCGCAGAACTGTCGTATTAGGTCTTTGGATCCTTTCCTTCATGGACCTCGGTTGGGGCCCACGACACCAAGCCAATGTGTTCACGTGTTGGAAGAAAATCCAGTCAGCCGGAATGTTGTCAAGTAATCAATGATTAATTAAAAAGAAGCAAGATATTTACCCGTTATAAAATGGCTCAGTAGTCTGCAGACGATACAGATGATTGCTGAGCGCAGGAGCTCCTGTTCCCAACGACCGCTGGGTTCACCACGTGTCACTTCCTAATTTTTTGTCCCATCAGAACCTATTGTAAAACAGTGAAACGATAAATGTCAACACGACAGTGTTGACATTTATCAGGTCAGGATTCTGACCTTTTCAGTTTCATGTGACTTTGTCGTAAGATTTTGTTGGATCTCATTTACTCAGTCAGTACAATCTTGTTCATTCTCATACATAACACTTTGGATGGCATTGAAAGGTCAGAGGTCAGTGGGGCTGTATGATGTAATCTTTTACTCTGCTCACCGTTCAGGTGATGACACATGCTCGTGTTATGCGTGTGTGTTTTGCCGTTGGTGTGTCAGTTCTTGTCAGAAGAGCAGATGTTGTATAACTAACCCACTTTGACAAGGTTAGTACTGAGTGAACTGTTGATCTGCCTTGTTTAATGGTTTGTTTGTCTGAATATAATCTTTGTCTATAGGTCAAACGTTTTCTCTCCACCCTGTAATCCACCAATCACAGTTCAGTGTTCTGCAGTCGTTACATAGGATTGGACATTAGTACTTTTTACTGTGTGCGCACACATTTCTGATTGTAGATAGGTGTGTGTGTTTGTGTGTGTGTGTGTGTGTGTGTGTGTGCTACTTCAGTCTGAATTGTTTTTAAAGTGAAATCTTCTCTTGATGAATAAACAACGTCGACTCATGTACTGTAGTCGATTTTTCTTGTTTTTCAAATGAACACAAAAAAATAAAACAGAAAATACATGTATAACAGTGTC